ATGTAGATATATATATATATATATATACATATATATATATATATATATATATATATAAATGAATATAAAGTTGTTAGTTCAGGTAACGTATAGTGCTCGATGTTGATGTTGATGTTGTGTTTGGTGATCCTATGCTCCGTTCACCAAACCAGACAACAAATTACTATACGTGGATAAACGATCAAACCACCCTTCATCCATCTTCAAGCAAATCCCCTCTTCAATCAATAAAAGAATATCAAGCAACTCCGATTCAGAAGCAACTTTTCAAAGTAGCCCCCGACTACCAAAAACACTAAGGGACAGCGGATTTCAACACAAGATGAAATACGAAAAACCACCTACAAACAGCTCAAAAGCCAGAAGAAAAAGGAACATCATATGGTACAACCCACCTTTCAGCAAAAACGTCAAAGCAAACCCCCTTACGTATGAAAAAAAATGTTGCACATACTTTTTTGATTTATCAATGTCTACTCTACATTATATTCAATTTTTTCAAAAATATAGCAAAAAAAAAGTGCAACCTCTGATATTGCTACATTTCGGACTGGACTAAAAACGAGCCTCCTCTGCTATCAAATGAATTCCCTCGCATACAGCAGCAACTGCTGTAGCCTATACGGCGATGTATGCAAAATAGGACTTAACCCATCACCTTCATCTTCATTGGTCGTTCAATTTCTAATTTCCCACCAAAAGCTTTTTCCCTCAAAATCTATGCGGAAGGATTAGTAAGCACTCACTGTGCTGTAATCAGTTGATGAGAGCAGGAAGGAAGAAGAGAGTACGGCATTTCTAACATAACTAGTATTAATTCGTTCCTAACCCAACCTAACGATTGGCCATACCAAATATCGTGTTAATCTAATATCACCCGTGATATATTATTGCTTATGCTCTAGCTAGAATCATGAGAAAACAAACAAACATTACAGGATCTTACACTTAACCTCTATTTCACACTACAGCCTCCAAAAAAAAAAACACATATCAACTTCGATCTCACGCTGCTATCTATGGCTTGCTTTGCACTTAGACCATATTAATAATACGCAGCACTAGAATGGTTGATTCATTTAAAATCTAAACAAAATCGAGTCTGGGCCTAGAAAAAACACGTGTATTCATGGGCCATCGCCTTCCTCCCCATGATTCATCTTAGCCCTAGGCTACAAAATCATACCGCCAGTCTAGTGTAAACCACTTGCTATTGATTTCAATTCACAGTTATCAGGAAAACAATATTTTTGTTCTCGAATCCTAGCCCGGGCACAAAATCATGCGTAGTTATTTTATACATTTCCGGCGTGAAAAGCGGTTAGACACGCCTTAGACCGCCTCTAAGATTATTGATACGAGCACTAGCTTGGATATCGGACCGCTGGTCAAGTGTAGACCACCTCGATATGGATTTCATGGCGGGGTGGGTGGGGTTTACTATTTGTAGTTCCTACATTAAGCTTAAATTAATTGAGGGAGATGTACTTATTTAAAATATCTCAATTGACATTTAACATCATATAGCATAGTATATATATATAGATTAAAAGGCAAAATACTGGAAAACAACAATGCTGTGGGAAACAATGGCTGGATCTCAGTAGAGATACATATATATATATATATATATATATATATATATATATTAATTATAAATATACATGCATATATAATATATATATACATATATATATATATATATATATATCTGTCTATTTGTATACTAAAACGTACCAGCCTTTTTCCTACGAAGTAAAGTCAACTGTGAAATACGGTACATCTTATACTGAGGGGTGTATACGAAATAGGCTTCAGATTGGACTTAAGCCATCATCTTTTGATTGGTCGTTCAATTTCAATTTTCCCACCAAAAGATTTTCTCTCTATGCGGACCGATAAGTAACCACTAACTGTGCTGTGATTGGTTGAGACCCGTATAGTGTAGCACTGAAGCAGGCGTAGGCGGAACGATTTTGGCTAAGCCAAAACTAGTCCTGGCCGGACCAATATTATCCAAGGAGGACTGATTTTGGCGGCTAAAATCGGTCCCCGGGCAAATTTTAGCGGCCAAATTCGATTCCCCGGACTAATAATGGCGCCCAAAATTGGTCCGAAATCGGTCCCCCGGACCAATTTTGGCCCTGACCCATTTTGGCGTGACAGGTCTACTGATAGTTTTAGTAGAAAGGTAGTAATACTGTAATGGAGATTGTGGTAGAACGATATGTGAATACTAAGAAATGTCTTTAGTTAAAGAGATTCTAATTAGAGACCAAAGCTGCTAAGGACCATTATAAGCCCGATTTCAAAGTGGTCTTCAAATGGGGGGAGATAATATATATTATATATGGAGGTCACACTAATCTGTATTTCTTTATATATACATATATACATTTTCCAGGCAGATATGCGTTCATGAAAACAAGGTATTCAGTTAAAGACGGTCATTTGCGGTCTCCTGTCTTGACCAACAAAAACTACAAATGTATATCATTTTATTACCAAGTGACCGGGCAACCTAACGAGGTTGAGCTATCTATTTTGGCTTTATACAATGACACCGACACAGGCAGTCCAATCTGGTCACTGAAGGGAGGCAGAGGGAGAGTGTGGAGGAAGGTGGAGGTCTCTATACCCAAAGGAGTTTACAAAGTAGGTTGTATGTCTGGTTATCTCATAAATTCAATCGTTGGAATTTGAGCAATATTATGTATTCTTTGTATTGCAGCCAGTGTATGGCAGCCTTTTCTTTTGTGAACAGTTTATTCTTAAAATCCAATGTACAACATAGACTATTATTATTATTATTATCAATATTATTATAACTATTATTATTATTACTATTATTATGATTATCATCATCATCATTATCATTGTCATCATTATTAGTAGGCATATTACTATTACTATAATTATCATGTTTATGCTAAAAAATGGTCGTTCTTTTTTTTATTTTTGCTATATTATCGTCAGAAATTTATATTGTATTGTCTTATATTATAAGCCTATTATATAATACCTACAGTATTGTCATCATCATCATCATCATAATTATTATTAACATTTATCATTTCGATGTATGGTCGTAGGCTCGACTTCCACGAAATCATTCACTATTTTTTTTTTTTTTTTTTTTTTTTTTTGCAAGTATTGGGAACGTACTGAGTATTTAGTACGATAACACGTCAGATAGGAAAACATCACCCTATAACATTCATCAGAATTTTTACAATTAATGTCATTATTATTAATATTTCCCTACTATATGGCGACAAATATTCTTCAAATTTGTTTTGACCGTACCTCTTAGAAGGGCTTTCCATATATATGCTTAGAACACAATATTACTTCCGTCGTTGCCAAGTATCAATTATGATGCAGCCCCTTTTGTGTAAACAGAAAGAATCCTCGTATAACAGAATAACGGAGTGGAATAATATATGTATTAATATCTCACTCTTCCTAGCTGTTTAACTTTAGTTTACATCAGTTTTGTATCTCAACCAAAATCAAAACTCAAATCAAATTGTTGTTTCCCTGTTTTCCCCGTATACTGCACGGTAATCTATATTAATTATTAATATTATTGCCATTAAAAATTTTCAAGAAGCTCAGTGGCCCAGTTGTTTAGGGCTTTAACATAGATAGCATAAGGCCACAAATTCGGTTGGGGAAACTTTCTTACACTGGCAGCTCTTT